AATTCATGAAAGAAAAAAATTGATAAATTGAACTTCATCAAACTTAAAAACCTTTGTTTTGTGAAATATTGTCAAGAGAATGAAAAGACCAGTCACAAACTGGGAAAAAATATTTACGAGTCACATATCTGAAGAAGAATTTGTATGCAAAATATACAAAGAATATTCAAAGAACTCTCAAAAAGTCGCCAATAAGAAAGCAACACAATGTAAAAATGGACAAAATATTTGTACAGACACTGCACCAAAGAAAAGACTTGGTTTGCAAATAAGCATATAAAAATATGCTCAGATTATTATGAAAACTACAATGCAATACCACTTCGTACCTACCAGAAAGGTTAACTTAAAAAAAAAAATGATCATACCAAGTGTTGGTGAGGATGTAGAGCAACTGGAACACTCATCCACTCCTGGGATGAAAAATGGTACAGCTACTCTGTACAACAGCGGGACAGTTTCCTACCAAGTTAAACACATCTTGGGGCGCCTGGGTGGCTCAGTCGGTAAGTGTCTGCCTTCAGCTCAGGTCATGATCCCAGGGTCCTGGGATCAAGCCCCGTATTGGGCTCCCTGCTCGGCGGGAAGCCTGCTTCTCCCTCTCCCACTCCCTCTGCTTGTGTTCCCTCTCTCGCTGTGTCTCTCTCTCAAATAAATAAATAAAATCTTTTTTTAAAAAAAGAACATTGTCTATCTTGATGAATGTTCCATGTGCACTTGAAAAAATGTGTATTCTGTTTTTGTTGAATAGAGTATTCTATAAATGACAATTAAAACATGTTACTAATAATTATTTTAACTATTATTGTATATTTTCAAAATATTAAATTGGTTGAAAGTATTATTGAAGTCTTCTATATCCTTGGTGATTTTCTACCTACCTTATACATAATTACTGAGAAGGGAATGTTAGTGTCTGTAAGTATAATTGTGGACTTGTCTATGTCTCCTTTCAGTTCTATCAGGATTTGCATCATGTTAACCCAAGCTTTTTAAGCTCTCTTGTTAAATGCATACACATTTAAAATTACAA